ATATGCAAAAATATGCAAGAGCCATGAGGGGAATGGAAGAATCCAGCTTTGAAGTGTTACAGCCTACCCTGGCCACAATGTTCATGAGATATTTTCAATGGACCAGTAGCCCATCATGGAGGACAGCAGGTATTTGAGAAATTTTTCCAAATGAGGCAGCCTTGGCACATGCCATGAGACTGAGCTACATGAACCTTGTCCTTAGTCTGTCAGGTTCAGCCTGAAACCTCTTTACATAGCTCACATCAGACCAAGAGAAAACAAATGCTCCCAGCTCAGGTGTTAGGCTGATTTAATGACAATCTTTCTTTTAAAACAACCTCAACACCACATCTGTGAAGGTTATTTTTTTAATTGGGTGGCTGAAAAAAAAAAGATTTGCCTATAAGGACTTCTATTAAAAAAAATTAAATAGTTGGTGAGGAGTCATCTTTGGTAAATGCTTAGTAGCTGGTTTAACGTGGATCTTCTGTCTGCCTTTTTGTATGGGTACATATGGTCTCAGTGGATATGTGTGGAGTGGAAGCAGTCTTGTTCTGTAGGTCCCCTGTGCTCAGGTTTGTGTTTGTGTATTGGGAGCGTTAATGAGAACAGACTGCCTTTCTTTCCCTTCATTCCCCAATCCCATCTGTTCAAACAAAAGGCTGAAAGGGAGAGAGAGCTGAGACCCTGCTGGTCAAGAGGGGATGGATAATAACACATATCCTTGGGCTACATTTCAACACATGCAACCCTTTCAAGCTGTGCTAAAGCTTTTATTCGGGCAAGAGAAAGAACAACCAATATAAAATAAGGATTTTTTTTCTTCTTTTTAGAAAAGCTGCATCAGGCCTGAAGGATGCTACATTCCGTTCTTTGCCTCTAACGTTTTATAATGCTGGATTATCAAAAAAAGGGTCTAAACCCATACTGATTATATATTTGTGTGTGTACAGACAGAGCATGATATTGGGCTAGAGTGAGTGACATATGCAGAGGGGCCAGGGATGGCTTAGAAAGTCAATTTTCACTCTGTTTGCACATGGTAACAGTTCCAGATTCGTGTAATTAACTATACATCAAAAGGGTGTGAAGGAAGATATATTCCTCTCTACCTTGGGGATTTGATAGGTACTTTGCAATTCATGATTAACTCCCCATTCACATATTTGTCATTATGGTCGTGCCAAACAACTCATCTGAAGATCAAAACAGCTTTCTTGGGGGCTGTAACAGCAAGAGAAGCACAAGAGATGGCACCTTGAATCCCAGAGCGGGTACCAAGTGGCAGAGAGGGATGCAGCCCTGGATGGTGGCACTGATGTTCAGCCCTCTGCCAGCCATTCCAGGGACGTCATAATGGTTTATGGGAGAAAAATGGTCTCAAATGCCATTAGTTTAATGCTTCATAATGTCATTGTGTCTGTTTTAAATGCAATCACCGAGCTCAGGGGACACCCAGGACTAAAATAAAAGAAGAGGAAAAGCGCTTCCAGAAATGTAACGATGGAAAAGGAGGCAGGGAAATCTTTGGTGACTGAAGAAATGAGATTCACTTGTTTTTTTCCACTGAGCAGGTAGCACATGAGTAATTGGTATAGGATGGCTAAAGGGATATTCATCATGAGAACTGATTGCACCCAGGTTGTAATAAATACACCAAAGTAGCATAATCAGTCTGGAAGCAGAGGAGAGTTTTGCAGACACAAGACCTGATCCTGGCCAAGATTTTCAGAAAGAGTAATTTCAAGTGAGATACCTAGTGCTGTGTTACTGTCTTTGCCTCATTTTCAGAAGTGGCGCACAACAAATCCCACTGAATGTGTCCATCATCCCCATCCAGCAAGTTTATTAATGTGTGTGTGGGTGACTAACTTCAGGGTACACTCAAAGAGAGGGAGCCAGAAAAAATGAAACATATCAAAACCAGTGAACAAGCTGAATGTGATCTGTTCACACGAATAGAAATGCAAATAAATAAATTGGAAAAACAATGATTACAAGCAGTCATTGTGCTCATGCTAGCTTTAGGACTCTTTCTAAATGTCTCATATCTTATTTCAATCACAGAAGTGGAGCTGTTTTCTTAAGGATGAAATCCTCCCTTAGTTGATACTTCCCTCTCCAAGTGAGGCAGGTACATGTTCCTTTCAGACAGGAGCTGTTCAGTTTCAGCAGTCATCAGTTATTCTTCTCCAGAGAGGTATTAAGGTGAAGGGATCATAGGATCATCTAGCACTGCTACTATGTCTCCCTTTTCTTTGGAGTCCTAGCGACTAGGGGCAACCTGCTTCTATGCATTGATGCTGTCAGCTAATCTAATATATAAAATTTACATGAGCAGCACATCCCCTCTCATCTCTACACCTCTTCTCACAGGGCATCCATCTCACACATAGGTTGCATCCTGTGGTTGCCCTCGTGTCTATCATTAGAAAGCAGACCCTTGAGCCTGGCCTAACTGTGGACCATTGATATATTTCAGGACAGGCCTCTGCTGAATTCATCCATCAGGCAACTGCAGGAAGTGATTTCTGTGGATTAATATGCTAGCAGGTGCATGCAGAGGTTGAAAGAGGAAAGGTTTGTGGTAGTAGCTGGCTTACTGAAAAGACAGAGAAATGAATGTGGCAGAAATAGGTTCCTTAGCATTGCAGATAGGTACAGATCAATAGGTTGTTGCTTTCAGCTCTTGTATTTGCTTTCTGCTACAGCTATTGATAGAAAGCAAGAAAAAGGAGTTTTTGACAATGCTTTCTATAAGGCCGGTTTTAAGAATCTGTTCCCAGTGTTATACAAACCAGCCAAATGTAATTCTGGAGGCTGAGATTCACCATGGTGGATGTCTCTGGTAGTTTGGGTTGAGGGAGCTGAGTTTAATCTTGGAAGGAGGTTAGAGAAAAAGAAACAGATGTATCTGTAGTTTAAAATTGACTAGTAGCGCCTTTCTTTGAGAAGATCTAAAGTTTCTATGGAGCAGAGATTAGAAATTGGCTTGAAAGGAGCTCCACTGCAGGGGATATGACTTCTGTTATACCCTGAAAAACTGTCCCAGTTTGGCCAGATCGTGAGTCTCCAGAGAAAACCAGATTAAGTCTCTTTGGCACTTGGCAATAGAGTTTTGTCAGAATTTAACAGCTTACATGCCTGTCCATCTTTGGCATGTATGACCACAGTGCCTGACCCATCCCTGTGGAGCACAGCCCTGAGCTGCATTTTCCTTGGAATACGCTTAACTGTGTGGGAGTTCTTTGATGATGGGTACCACAAGTACAGACTGTGGGAATACAGCTGAGAGGCACACACAGAAAAGTTTCCTTTGCATTTCATCGATGGCTAAAAGTGTGGCTAGATGGACTTAGAGCATCAGGAATCACTGAGTAAGGAGAAAAGTCAATGAAGTAGCTATTTGCTGTCACAGATGAAATAGATAAAATTCTTCCATTAGTTCCTGACGTGAAACAAATAAACGAAGGGGAATGTTTTTTAACTGCAGGCATCAGAGACATTTTTTTGTTATCCTCAAATATATTCCCTGGATGTAACGTGTGACGTATCAGCAGGCTTCTGGCATAAGGCTTTAGGAAAACAGAGTGTTGGCAAAGTGTTCAACACCCTTTCTAGAAAACATCCTTTCCTTCTTCTGACATTCAGGTCATGTTTCATATCTTACCCTAATTCCTAGGAAAATAACAGCAAGATTGATGATATTAAGATACTTAGATCTGCAGCGATGGATAGCATGACTAGTGACTTGGAGCAACTTTGGAAAAAGCTGGAGGTTCCAGATGAACTAGCAAAACTGTCTGTTTCTTATGGTGGAAATGGTGTGCCTGAAAGGGAAGTTAACACAGCAAGGTAGGCAAGAAAAATATGTTCAAAGAATTACATCAAAGGTGTTCAGGAACTGAAAAAATCAGAGAGGGGCCAAAGATGTTTCATGCTGGCATCAGGAGGTCAGTGGCCTCAAGGAAGCTGATGAAGCTTGTCAAATATCTAAGGGATAAGTAATAGGAATAGTAGGGTTACCATGAGTGAAATAGTAAGATTACTGTAAATGAAACATGAACAAAAATGCTAATTTGTGTGAAACCACAAGAAGCAAAAAATAGAGCAAGGGTTGTTACGGTGGTCTATATTGAGCATGAAGGGTATGACTTCAGTGATCAAACTGTAGACACTGAGGAAGATGCTGTTTATGTCAGGCCTGGGCAAGGCCCCAGCACAGACAATTCCTCAGTAGGTACCGGCTCTGATAAACAGGAGGATTGCAGCAAGGTTGCAGCGGATTGAACGTGCCGTTGTTCTTCCCATTATCCCAAAAGGAAGGCAGGCAAGTAACCATGAGATGCGCGAAATTAGAATTCAGAGGTGTTGTGTGCCAGCTGTGCCTAGGGTTTATAGAGGCTGAAGTGAACAAAACTGTGAAGCAAAATCTGCTCCCATAGATTCTGTTGATTCTGAAAAAGTGTAGAGGACCCATTCCAAAACCAGGTAATTGTCAGCCAGCAAGAGGGTTCCAAATGCATGGAAGCAATTTTTCCTGGATACAATATACGTGATATCAAAATATCTGTACTCCACAATCTATCAGACTGGGTACTAAAGTACTTATTGAGGATGGACACAGACCCAAATTCAAACAGATGATTAGCACTGCTAGAGTTCAGAGTAGTACTTCAACAGTGTGGCTTGTCACATGGTCAGTAAGAAACTGAAGAACGAGAAAAATCCGGACAGGAACACTGGGAATCAGAGTCCCTGGTGACTAACATAGGAAAAGCCACCATAAAAAAAAAGTGATATGTGATTCATGGACCCAGGAGTTGCTATAATGCATCATTATAATCAGAGGTAAAGTTGCAAATGGTGAATTTAGCTCTGCTAATATGGAAGACAGGTAAATACATCCAGTGAAGAAATAAGGAGCAGCTTCTCACGACATGAGTGAAAAAGAAGCTGGAATGATGCACTCTCTGTTCTGGAAGGGCCTCAGACAAAGACAGCAGGATCATGAGGAGGCAGTTGATGTTATGTGACCACAACAGGCCGGCTTACTGCTGCTTGCCAGCTGTGCCATTTCTCTCTCAAAAGAGACATTAAGACACAATAGACTCAGCATCGTTGAATCAGCTAATCCAGAGGATCACTGAATATTTCTACTTTTTGTAGGTATTTTTTCAAAGTCATGTGCTGCAGGGATGTCAAGCAGGGATCCCATTATATGGTGAAGCACATCAGTAACTGGTTTGTGTGACAACCACAGCAGTGGTGCAGCACATATGGAGACTAAGGTCATCCTGTACCAGTCCCTCCAGGAGAGAATGAAGGTAACCTCCTTGCTTCTGAGTGCTTGCTGAAGGGTGCAACCTTTTACTCACACTCCATAATTAGTGACAGTTCCTGCTCTCATAAAGCAGTGACCAGCAATAAAGCAAGGCTAACCCACAGCTCTGGATCAAAACAGCCTGGGATGTTGATCTGTTTGAAAGCTGGCTCCTAGTTTGGTGGATGAATCTAATGCCTTAACAAACTGGCTGACTGCAGCTGGGCATACATAGGCTGCTCAGCTCCCTTTTTTATCTCTTTCAGATGTCACTGCTAGGAACAGTGATTAAATCCCCATGTGACTACTCTCAGTCAGTAAGAGCAGGTCTTGTTTCTCTGGAGGCACGTACCAGAGTGGCTCAGTCACCTCATGGCATTGAGAGAACACCTGTGTTAGACAAGGATTTAGATACTTCTCATGGTGGGATGAAGCTAGATGGGACTAGTCAGCTTCACAGACAGGGTGGGACTGGGCAGGTTGCAAATTCTCCTGCTGTGTGGGTCAGGCCTTTTTACTGCTGACAGAGCATTTGCAGTCTAAACACGTAAAGGGTGGAAAAGGGAAGCATATGTTGTCTCCCAGGAGGATGTGAGACACAGAGAAATACCAGACTGGCTGTGAGATTCAGAGATTTAGAAAAATTACTTTGCTGGTGTCAGTCAAGCTAGAAGTTGCAACTCTTAGAGAAACTTAAGGAGCCACCATGCAAAGGAAGAAGACAAGGTGTGGACACTTCCCTGAGTGTGACAGTAATATAATTTCCACATGACAGAAATTCCCCTGCTGAAGATGCTATTGTTTTGAACGCAATTATCTTTTACAAGGTTCTTCCAATCCACCTAATCATCTTTATCTTAATGTGCTTTTCCTTTCTACATTATAACATAAAATCCATTTCCTTTCAATTTGCTTCAAATCTATCTGCATACAGATTACAAATCAAAACTATACATTATTGTAACTTGGACACATGATAATTAAATGCAGTTGGTCTGAATAGACAGACGGTGAATGCTATTACAGTTTGTTTATGGTAGCAAGTAATTCAGGTTTCTCTGTGCCATCCCACCAGCATGGTTTAACCCTAGCCTAGAAAGTGTATGCTAGGCTAAGTGCAAGCTTCACCATGCATTTGGTCCTTGGTTCATGGAATGACATTGGTGATTAATGCTGCTTGAGTTTTGGATTCTGAGATTTCAAAATATTCATCCCACTAAGGATCTGCATCAATAGTTCATCCTGTATCAGCTCTCACCTGAACCTCTCTTTCTGGTGGGGGAATTTAAGAGACTGCTGAAAATATCTGCATGTTTTAAAAAAGATACAAAGCCTTTGGCTCTACAGTGCAGCCTTGTGCAAGAATCCCTGTGTGAGTGATAGGATTTGACCCTGGCCTTGGCCCCATTTAACACTGTATTCTGAGAACTTGTTAAATATGTACTCTGAATCCCATTTTATGTTGTAGTTTCACTTTTTGGATGCTACTGGGAAGCAAATTATGTGGTAGCAAGAGTCCTGGATGTCTTGAAATGATACACAGGAGTGTCGGTAGTTCAAGTATGCACTGTAAATGCACCACTGAGAGGTGCTTTAAGAATGATTAAAGAAAAGGTCAAGTGAGGTGTATTCACCTTTACAGAGTAAGGTTCAAATCAGTTAAAATCTCAGATGCTGTTACAAGGCAAATGGAGTAGGAAAGTTTTGTGTTCATTTACTTTGCACATTGTCAGAAGATACTTCATGAGTCAAGAAAGCTGGGAGGTCTCCCTTAGAAATCCTTTGGCACTGAAGAGCCTTGTGTGGGGAGCACTGAACTGGGAGAGACAAGGGGGCTGCTCTACACTTTTTAAAGACACTTTGTTTGAAAGCAATGCTTTCAGTGATAGACCCTGAACTAGGGACTGTAGACTTTGAGATATATGTCATATGATTATGTACAGCAAAGAGACTTCAATGTCTAAAGATAATTTCTGAATCTCTGGATCCTTTTTGTGTTCTGTGTCTCCATCAGGAAGACAGATTGAGTGCCCCCAAACCACTTTTGAAGACTCCATTCCTAGCTGGTCAGCAGGACCTAGCTCATACTGGAGGTGGCCTCTGGCCACAAGATTCAAGCTGGTCTGTACTGGGATTTTCTGAATGACTGCATATGCGGTCTGAGACTGTTTGTTTGTCTGAGACACCTTTGATCAACCAAAAAAGCTTCAGTGGGATGAGCTTAGAAGATGATTGTCCATTCCCTCCATGGTTCATGTAAACTACTATTTTCACTCCTCCTCTCTTTGTTACCATTTTAACTTCTCCTTCATTTTCCTTGTTTCTTCTTCATTTTTGAGGCTTAAATCTAAAGTGTGTCAAAATTTACTAGGTTTGGATGACCACAATGGCTGAATATAAACTCTTCAAGTCTCTCAACAGTCCTTTCTTCTTTCAAGCACTTTGCTAGTTCAATATTATTTAAGGTCTCCAGAGCTTAGATCTTCTTGGGGCAATTAAAGCAAGATAAGAGGTTGTGACCCTGACTAATAGGACCTACCTGTTCAGAAGGCAGTCCTGTCAAAGTAAAGTCTTAAAAATATGTCAGGACAAGGAGGCTGGGGCTGAATTCAAGGCAGGCCCCATCCTACATTTGACCATCCTACCATACCATGATTTTCTTCAGGATCCTTCTTAGGATTGTTACTGTGGTGACAATCATAAATAACTCCTTTGAGATCAGGGAACTGCTGTAAGCTTACCTTTATATGTTTCACATGAAACTCCAATCCTTTGACTTTCAGGAAAACCACATTTGTTATGTTTATTGCTCCAGGGAACATGTCCTTCTCCCTCCCTAAAAGATCATATTTATCTTGTCACATTGGCCCACTGAAGACTCACCTTACAGACAGCTTTTGTGGACAGCTTTTGCGTTCAGGTCCAAAGACCTGAAGGCTTTGAAGGCTTGAAAGATGCTGGCATCTGCCAAAGATCTATTTCCTTCAGATGGAAGAAGATGAAGATGTAGACTGAGCTAGACTGAAAATCCATCTATCCCAGCATCGCAGTGCAAATTAAAGCTAAAGCAAATGCCTGGGGGCTATCACAATAGCAGAGGTATATACAATTGCTAAAGGTCTGCTGCCCTTCAGCCATTCATAGTTTCAGGAGAGCTTGAGTTGGGAGGAACTTCTACACATTTAATCCTGAGGAGATTTCTGTTTTTTGAGCTTCTATCCTTGAACTTGTGTAATATTTTTGCTTTCACAATATCCCGAGGAAGGAGTTCCATAGTTTTACTGCACTTGGTGTTACAAGACACTTCCTTTTGTTTGTTTTGAGTCTGTTTCATTTGACACCTCCTGGTATCAAATTATATTGGATGAGACAGGGAGCAACTGATCCCTTTCCACCATCCCCTTGTTAACTGGGATATGATGGCTTTCTGTAAAATCACTGTTGGCTCAGTCCTTTTCACTTAGTCATTTGCTGTATGGAAGCTTTGTATTACCCTTTCTGCCATTCTCAGATCCTTTTGAACTTTTACTTTGCTCTTACTGAGACTGAACCAGAGCTGCACGTGGAATTCAGGATACAGACTTACTTTGGTTTTATGCAATGGCATAATGTGCGTTCTCTGCCTTGCTCTCTATCTGTTCTGTTATGTTCTCTCAGTGGTGATAATAATATCTTACATTTTGTTTTCTTTTTCCATGACACAAAGACCCAAGCTGATGTTATCATGAAGCAATATATCACAGCTACAAGATCTTGCTTCTCTGCTTGGCTCAGGACTGATCAGTTATATGTGAAGTTAGAAATGTTCTTCCCTGCATGCATCACCACATCACTTTATTTAAATTGAATTTCTTGTGCTATTTTATCAGTCTAATACAGTCCTTCTGGAATTTTTCATGGTCAGTCCTTGTCTTTATTATCTTAAATAAGAAAATTCCAATACAGCTTTATGGCTCTATCCTATAGGGATAATTTCTGGGATAGTCTTGAAGCCTATCTGAAATCCTGAAATTGCTTAAATGGTCAGAAGACCCTTGGTATTGGGAATACTGGGTATGATATGTGGGAAAGAGTTGAATGCTGTGACTGCACACACTGGAATTCTGCTTTCTACTGCTCTGCTTTGTTCTGCATTACTTTTCTTTCTTTATTTATTTTTACCTTGTCTGTGAGCCCTTGCTGAGCTCTGGACCTAGGGTTTGCAAATCTCTCTGCCACTTCTATGCACAGAATCATTTTGAGCAAGGAGACAGAGAACTTCTCTAGAGGATAGATGTTATATGACAAACCCCTTGTCTTTTGGTCCTTGAAAAAACGTTCCTGTACCAGTCCATCCCTCTGGCCACGACTAAAGTTGTACTGATCTCTCCTGAGTAGTTTTGAATGTTTACTTAACAACTCCTTTCAGTTCCCTTCCTGCCTGGTTCTTGTCTGTTCCTGAACTGAACTTGCTTTTAACCCCTGAGTGAGCTGCTCCTTCTGATTTTGCCGGAGCATTTTCTCCCTATCCACCCATACCAGCAGCTCTTCCCAGCCACTCAAATCCTTCTCCTTCCTCACACTTCCTGCTGTCATCTTTTCCTATGTTTGCTGCCTGCCTTTTCAGATGCCTTTTGTTCCTCATTATGCCCTGGTGTAGACCCTAGGTTCATTTGTACACCCCACTTCCCTCATGGAAAATCCTTCATGTTATGCCCAATCTCTGATTGATGAGGCTCCTCCACCTATGTGACCTGACTTCTTCTGCCCTTCATTGACTCCATGCTACTTTTGCTTTGATTCAAGCACTCCTAATGGCACCTTTTTTCATGCCTTCTTCCAAATCTCTTCTGAATTCTCCACACATTTCTTCTGATAATCTTCTTTAGTGAGGAACAGCAGAACAACTGTCACCTGTTGCTTTCCAAGTGACTCTGTGCCCAGCCACTCTGAGAGCAATCATTGCATACATCAATGTGTGTGTGCACTCATATCTAGAAAAGTTTGGGAGGAAAAAACCAGCAAAAACAAGGAGGGTGGGGTGGATGGAGGTATTTTATTAATTTGCTAAGAATTCCTTAAGTAAATAAGTGAATTTGAGAAGTGTAAGTTCTGTAACATTACCTCTCTCAGATCACTTGAGTAGCAGTCTGCATGGATGAGAAGTGAGACACCAGCCCTGAGCTCGAGCACCAAGCAACTCCCTATGAAAGCAAGGACTGGCTGTACTGCAGGGCACGGGCTGGTGAGGTGGCAGAGGAGAGAACCACCTCTGCACAGTTGTGCCACTCTCAGGGAACTTGAAGGGCAGGGTGGCTATGGGAAGGCCAGAAGGGGCAGCTGGAGGGAGGGTGCAGGAGCTGTTTTGAGAGCCGGACAGTGAGGACTTGGTGGAGAGCAGTGGTGGGCAGAGGAGCTTGCTCTGAAAGGACAGAGGAGGTGACATCAAAGAGCACAGCCGTACACTGAGAAAAACAGCGACTTTGTGCCTGCACTTGTGTCTGAAAGGGGACAGGGTCTAAGCTCTCTTCATTTTGAGCCTGAGTTATTCCAGCCCAGTGACTCAATTTATTTCTGTCTCTGCTCCTGACATTTCTCTTTGAGGTGGCTGCTGCAT